AGCATTATCTCATTTTTGTTACGTATGCTTATATATGCTTGAAAAATTAAAAAGAAAAACAACTAAAATCCCCTGGAGGGGCCAGGGAGATGGCTCAGTAGAATAAGCACTTGCCTGGCAAACGCAAGGGCTTGATTTCAATCCTCAGTTCTGCCAAAAAAAAAAATAATAATAATAATAATTAATAAAAATAAAATCCCCTGGAGGTAGGGGTGCAGCTCAGTGTTAGAGCCGTGGTCTAACATCATCCTGGGCCCCTGCATTCAGCACTACCAACAAAGGGACTGAAAAACCTGAAGGTTGGACTGGCAAGGGATGACCTCTGTGAACGTGGGGTTTTGGAAGATTTCCTACTTTATGCATTTTTTAAAAAATTACCAATATTTTTACGTCTTGAGGATTTTTTTTTTTTTGTACCAGGGATTGAACTCAGGACCCTGTGAAAAAGTTGAGAGGGATTTTTTTTTGGGGGGGGGACTGGCTCAGGCTGCCTTAAGGGTGGGTCTGGTATGGCATGTGGACCTGGGGATCAAACCACGGTCCCCTGCACCTGCATGAGCAGGTGCTTAAACAACTGAGCTAAACCGAAGGTCCCCTACCGATATTTTTATAAGTAACTGAAAAACAGCATTTTAATTTTATTTCTTAAAGCTCTGACATGGGGCTGAGGAGATAGCTTAGTAGAATAAGTGCTTGCCTGGCAAGCGCAAGGTCCTGAGTTTAATCCCCAGTTCCACCAAAAATAAATAAATAAATAAATAAACAATAAAATTAAATAAAGCTCTGACATTTAGGAGCTGGGAGAATAGCTCTGAGGCATAAGCATCTACCTGGCAAGTATAAGGTCCCAAGTTCGATCCCTGGACCCGCATGCCATGCCAGCCCCAAACCCCAGGACCCGGAACTGGGCATGGTGGCGCATGCCTGTAATCCCAGCATTAGGGAGGCTGAGACAGGAGGATAGCTGCCAGTTTCAGAACAGCCTTGGGGCTACAAAATTGAGCACAAGGCCAGCCTGAAATGCATAGCAACACCCTGTCTCAGGGAAAAAAAAAAAAAGCCTCTGACATTTAAAAAAGAACTGACTTAACTAAACTGGGTGGTATACATGTGTAACCAGTCACTAAGTACCACCAAATGAACGACACAACATAAAAAACTACTTTTGAGTCTGTACTTTTTTGTTGTTGAACCCAAGGACTTCACCCTGAGCTACATCCCTAGCCCTATTTATTTTTTGAGACAGGATTTTGCTAAGTTACTCCATAGCCAAGACTGGACTCGAACTGCTATCTGTCTGCCTCAGCCTCTCAGGTTACAGGGATTACAGACATGCGTCACCATTCCCAGCTGAGGCTATACTTTTCAGAGGAAGAGCAGTATGTTCAGGGGTGCATGTGACTGAGGATCAAGCTAGATCCCGCCCCAGTGTCAAGGCCTGGACACCTGGCCCTGAACCCTTTCCCCCTGACTGTGCAATGCTTTCCTTCCCCCTTTGGTTCCTGGACCGTACAGGGCTTTGGTCTGTGGCCTACACCCTGCTCTCCTCACTGTCTGGCCAACTCCTGTTCACCTTGAGCCCTCCTGATTGCTCTGAGTCAGACCAGGGCCATGTCCTTTGTGGCCATAGCTTTCCGGGGCTGTGGCCCCAGACTGTTCAAGTAGACTTCGCTAGGTCCTCTTCTTCATCCACCCTTCATTCCAGCTTGTCTTCTGGGACATCTGTGGCCTCAGACCTGCCTACCACTGCTTACGTCCTGTTCTCCCTCCTGCCTGTGCTAATCGTGACTTCTCCATCCTTGCCCTGGAGCCCTGCTTCTGTCCTCTCCAGGGTCTTTGGCACCTGGCCTCTGCCTCTGCTATAACACAGCTTCTCTCTGAACCCTTCCTTATTTCTGTCTTTAGCATCTATCTGTGTACCCTGTATTCCACCAGGTACTTGGGAGGCTGAGGCAGGAAAATCACTTGCACCTGGGAGTTCAAGGCCAGCCTGGGCACCATAGCAAGACACTCATCTCAAACAAGTTTGTTGGGGACACCCACAGAAACACACATACACAGAAAGACAGAGTATAAAGTTGCAAGAGTAGAACAAGGAGGGCTGGGGAGATAGCTCAGCCGCAAAAGCCTGCATGACAAGTGCAGGTCCTGAGGTCCTGAGTTTCATCCCCGGTATAAAAAAAACCCCAAAACTGTAGACACCTGTATAGCTTCACCCAGATTTACCATTTGTTAACAGTGGCACATTTGCTTTGATTCTGTCTGTATCAATATATA